AAAGGTTGGGAAAATAGAGGCATAATGGGGAAACGGTGAGGGGGAAAGGAAAAGAATAAAGGGTGGGAAAATGAAAGAAAAAAGGGCGAAAAAGATGAGGAGAAAAGGGACAGAAAAGCAGCCGGCAGCCACAGCAGGGTGAGGACGAAGGCTCCCAAAGCCGAGCCGCCGTGCAGAACCTTCCAGGGAAGCTTGGTGTCGCTCCAGGCCTTGGGAATGCAGCAAACCGGGGCGGCCGGAAGGGAAAGGAGCCTGGATGGAAGGAGCCGCGCCGGACCCTCTGCTCTCCCTGTGCTCACCTGCGTTCCCAGGAGGGCGCAGAAGGAGCTGGGACAGGCAGGGCTGGAACTGGGACACTAAGGGTTGGAGCTGGGACACGAAAGGCTAGACCCGGGACACCCGCCCGGCTGCCACCCGCGGCTGCTCCCCTCATGCCGTCCGCGCCATCGCCGCGCCTTCGGGCTTCGCTTTGGAGAGGGATTCTACTTATTTATCTGTTTTCCCGGCAGAAAATAAATAAATAAACAAAGGCGACAACTCAGACCCGCAAGGGGGAAAAAACAAAACAGAAAACCAAAACACTCGCCGATCCGGAGCGCGCTTGGAAGGGGAAGGGATCGGTGGTGTCACACCCCGGCCGGGCCCCAGAGCACGCTCAGCCCCGGGTGGGGGATCTTAAACAGATTTAAAGTCAGTTCTTCCCCTCCAGAGACCTCTCCAATGGGAGTCTATGGGGTTTTTATAGAATATATTGCGTTGGAAGGGATTTCAAAGCTCATCTCGTTCCACTCCTTTGCTACAAACACCTTTCACTGTCCCAGGGTGCTCCAAGCCCTGTCCCGCCTGGTCTGGGACACTTCCAGGGATGGAGCAGCCACAACTTCTCTGGGCAACCCGTGCCAGGGCCTTCCCACCCTTATTTAAAAATCTTTTCCTATTATTTATATTTATATTGACCTCTATCCTTCAGCTTAAAACCATCACTCCTTGTGCTGAGGGGTGGGGCAGACCCATGTGTGGCTGGTGAGGGTGATGAGTGCAACAGCATTTGGGGGTGCTGGGAAGATTTTTTTTTTCCTTTCTCCTTTCAATTTTATCCTCTCCATCCCTCACCAGTGCATCCCAGTGCCTCCAGTTTCTCCCCAGTGCATCCCGGTGATCCCAGAACAAATGCAGGGACCTCAGGGAAAAAGGGGTTTAAATTGAGGGGAAAACCTCCTTTTCCATTATTATTTGTGTTTAAATTGGAGGGAAACCCTTTCACCTGTGATTTAAAGGTTATAAATGGAAGGAAAACCTGCCTTTTCTGTGTTTTTAGGGCTATCAATTAATTGACCAGGAATTCCTATTTTTCAGTTTAAGTGGCAAGAAATGATCTTTTTTATGTCATGTGTTGGGTTTGAATTGAGGGCAACACCCCACTCCCCATTTTCATCATCATAGGATTTAAGTTGAGAGGGAATTCCTGTTGTCCCTCACATTTTTATGGTTAAAATTGAGAGATATTACCCCATTTTCCATCATTTGGGTATGTGTCCTATGGGGTTGGGAGGGTTATGGTGCTCTAAGGATCTGTGTAGGCTATAGGGTCTGTAAGAGTTATCTCTTATAAGAGGGATGTGACAGCTATGGGGTTGTTAAGGGTTGTGGGCTGTGTTTGGGATGTGAGGGGCTTTGAGGTCTGTTTTGGGTATGTGGGCTCTGAGGTCTGTGTAGGGTATGGGGGCTTTGGGGGGCTGTCAGTGCTGTGAGGCTCATGGGGTTTTTGAGGATCTGTGAGGGCTGTGAGGGCTGAGAGAGCTCCCTAATGGTCACATTGATTGGAAAAAAATGTCCTTATATCTTCAAACCCCATCAATGATAATCCACAGACTTTGTTTTCATGTTCTCAGTGATAGTTTCCTAATTGCTACAGATGTCAGAGCATCGTTATCTGTGATAATTAAAGCTGAATGGTTATTTTCTCTAAGTGAGGCTGTTGGGGTCATTCCAAATAAGATGTGGTCATGCCATAGCATAATTAATTGCTGTATTAATAGATGAAACCCATGGCAATCCCTCGTGAGTCACATACAGAAATTGCAGTGGCATTGTGCTCTCCTTCCCTGTCCTGCTTGTTCTTCTCCAGCATGATGGTGGTGATAAGGTGTCTTTGTAAAGCTGCCAAGAAACTGAAGGGAGAGGACTGCCATCCCAGTGAGATCCCATGACTTGGAGATGATTGCAGGAGGATGGAGGGGAGAGGAGAGGCACCCAGGAAACTCCTGGGGTCAGCAGACACGTGCTTGTTGGAGTTCCTGTTTTGTTATGCTCCTGTGAGTAAGGATCCTGTGACCTCTCTGCCTGTGGCTTTCAAATGGGCTGGAGCTGCTGGTGGATGCTCCTGGTTGACTCCATCTGGCTTTTGGAAACTCCTCTAGCTTGGCCAGGTGTTTGGGATGACCCTGTGTTGAGGGGAGCCAAAACACCCATCAGTGCTGATGGAGGGAGAGCAAAGCTGGAGCTGACTCCACTGTAAATCACCATTTCAGCACCTTGTGCAGGCACAACTTCCTTCTGCAGCTCTTAAGGCAGCTGTTTGGAAAACTGGGTACTGGAGAAATTATGGGGTTTTTCCCCTTGGCTTGGCCAAAGCCCTTCAGCAGGAAGAAAATGAGGTGGTGGGAGTGTTGTGTGGCTTCACTGAGGTGGTGTTGCGGTCTTAGGAGCAACAGGATATTATCTTCCCTCATCTGTTTTGTTGAACTCAGATTATGGATTTCCTTCCAGTTATCAGTTAAACATTGTGAAGTGAATGGCTGGAGGAGGCCAGGCCACATGTCCCATATATCAGCTCACAGTTGTCTTACCAATAATTACCAAGAACTGCAAAGATAACAGCTCATATGACTGTTATTTTAAAAGAGTGGCCCTGCAGCTAGAAGATCTCTTAAAGATACCCCAGAAATCCATTCTTTTCCTCATGTGGCAATAATGACAATTAGAAAAGGTGCCTGGGATCCATCTATGCTGGTTTCCCAGGAGAGGCTTAGCTTATTTTGCCACCAGGTCCCAAATTCAACTGGAATCAAGGTCCATTTGAGCCTCCAGCTATCAAGAAACACGTAACTTTTGCGTTACATCCTGCTCCTGATCTCCACCCCACACATGTGTAGTCATTTCAGGGGCTGGTGGACTTAGGCAGACAGAAACACAACCTGGCCCTACAACTTGGAATCACAAAGGGAAAAGACTTTTAAAACTCCACCAGTACCTACACTGCCAGTTCCACCACTAAACCATGCCCCCAGTGCCACATCCACTTATTTTTGAAGGCTTCCATGTGACAGTGTCTGCCTCAGAGGTTCTGGGTGTGTAGGGGTTTTGTTGTTGTTGTTTTTGTTTTTCTTTTGCATGATTTTGTAAGATTTGGGAGCCTTTATTCACGGTTGTAGGATGGCAGAGGGAGCTGTGGGCAGGCAGGTTTATTGTCCTCCTTAAGGCAGAGGATTGCTGGGTCTGAACTGCTACAAAATCCAACAAACTGCTTTGAAAAGAGGAAAAAAAAAAAAAAAGAAATATTGTATCTTTGCTATTATACACACCAGTGAGCTGAGAGAGGAAAGTTTTCCTAACAAGACTCTGCTCCCAGGCAGTAAATACTTTGAATTTACTCCTGCACCAGGGACATTTCCTTTGAGGTGGTTTTCTGGCTAAGCCAGCCCTTTTTAGGGGGTATTGGCGCTGCTGAACTCTTGCAATTTTTCCCCCATTTTCACTGCATAGCAGGCCACATCTTCCTGATTTAAGCCACCTCTTTATCCTTTTGGAGGAGGATGTATTGGGATCTGGGGCGGTCGGGGCTGCCGGAGCGGCAGGAGGCCCTGGAACAGGGTCTCGTTGTGATGTTAATTAGTGGCTATTGACCGCTCCCTGTTCGGGTGCAGTGGGGCGCAAGGGCTCTCCAGCTTACATAAGGACCTGCCCGACCGATGTCTGCCTCCTGCCAATAAACTGATTGCTTTTGTCGGCACCTCTGCTGGAAATCAATTTTTGGCTTCCAGAGGAGATCATGCATCCCCGATATCCCAGCTCAAACGCTGCATCTGTAGTCATCACCTTTCCTGCACAAAATCCATCCTAATTTGGGTTCAAAATGCTTTTCTGGCTCTGGTCATGGAGCTTAATCTAATCTTTGTTTCAAGTGAGTTATCAGGGTGGATAATTCCCTGTACCCCTGTGTGAGCAGCAGGGATTTTAGTCCCACCGGGCAGAAGTTTTCCTCTTTGGTCTTGCTGTCTTTCTCCCTGTTTACATTCCTGTCAGGGTGGAAAAAATTAAATAGAGTACTATCAATGTTTGCTCTGATGAAGGTGAGAAATGGGTTTGCTTTAATATCGCTAGACACAGAGGGAGTGTTTTACTGAGCAATAGACGGCAGTTGGATATATATATATTACAATTTATATCTCTTTGGTTGCGTGGTGTATTTAGCGCTTTTCTCCAAATCCTGTCGAACCGTCTTTTCTTGCTCACGGCAAGCGAGGGAAGCGCTGCGTCCTAATTAAGCTGTTTGCCACAAGCAAAGAGCTCGGCTGCCCAAATTGCTGCGAGAGCAGCCCAGGACGCCAGTGTCTGCTGCTGAAGTTTTCCTCACAAACTGCTGCTGGGGGCAAAATGAGATGAGACGCGGGAGATGGGAGCAGAGCATCCCGATGGAGCCGGTCCTCCCGGGCGCGCAGGCACAGCTCCTCCCGGGGATGCTGCGCTCCCTCCCCGCGCCCGTGGCCTGCCTTCCCCGGGGAGGCTCCCTTTCACTCGCACACCCTGCATCGGGCAGGCACACACACAGGAGAGTAAACATCTTCCGCAGCCCCAGCCGGGCGGGCGAGGCGTGCCGCTGCGGGCAGGAGCCCGGGGGAAGGCAGGGCGGCCCTGCCGGAGCGCCCGCCGCGATAGGCGCCGTGCCAGCCCTGCTCGCCCGGCAGAGCGGCTGCGGTGCTGGCAGGAGCCGGCTGGCCTGCCCGCAGCTCTGCCCCTGCCCGCTTATATGGGCAGCCGCGGAGGTGGGGCCGGGCTCTCCTCGCCCCTCCGACAGCAGCAGCAGCAGCATCCCGACAGCGAGCGCTCGGGGGCAGCGAGTAACGGGAGCGGCTTCGGCGAGATGGGCAGGAAGCTGGACCTCTCCAAGCTCACCGATGAAGAAGCCAAGCATGTTTGGGAAGTCGTTCAGCGGGACTTTGATCTGCGGAAAAAAGAGGAGGAACGGCTGGAGTGAGTATCTGCTCTCCCGTCCCCCGAGTTGGGGGCAAAGCAGCCGGGACATCGTGGGCTGTAGGGATGAAACAAGCGCAGCGGGCTGTGGAGGTCGAGCACGGTGAATAGATTACGTTATCAGCGGCAAGGTGACGCATTCGGGCAGCCAAGGTGCGAGCTGGCGCCGTGCCACCGGCAGCGATGCGGATCGGTGACACCGCCGCGCTTTATGGGGACAAACACCAGGAAATGCCTCCGTGAGGCTGGAGGCTGGTGGGGCTCTCCAGGGGAGGCTTCACCCGGGAGCAGAGGATGGGATTCGGCTCCCTTGGTTTGGCTTCATGTGGTGGGTCTCGTGTGTTTAGGGCAGGAGTTGTTCAGTGGGTCCTGGGCGTCCTCAGATCCCTGAAGACCCCTGGAAAAATAACTGAGAGGAGTAGTAAACCTACTACTACTAGCAAACCTATTTTAGTATCCTTAAATATGCAATACTGAGGACTGTGCTGTCGTGGAAAAGTTTTAGGGGCCCACAAATTGGGAAAAGATTGAAAAGTCACTGGAGCAGCAAATTCTGTGAACTTCAGGGTGTTGGACGATGGTGTTGTTTAAAAAAACGTTCTGTCAGATCAGATTAAATTATGAGCATGAGAAATCATAGGGGTTCAGGTTTTGTTCGTGAACTGCATCAGATGCTGAACTTAATAACGCCTTAACATATTTCAAGAAGCTGCAGTGACCCTCTTCAGGGTCTGGCCAAGTTCTCACTGTCCCACAGGGATGGTCCATGCTCTCAGACTGGGTTTGGGCTGTGCTGCACTCCCATTGAGCTCTCAGACCCTCCCAGCTCTGAATTTTGTGTGCCAGGGCTGGTGCTGATACCATGATAATGCCTGGAGAGCAGGAGCTCATTAGTTCCTCTATCAGATCCAAAAGGAAGGGTAAGGAGTGATAGCCATCCTCGGTTTGGGATATCTGCATCCCCCAAAACCTTCCAACCGTGAGATTTACACCAATGGCTACACAAAACTCTCAGTCAAGTATTTTTCATCCCCCTGATTACTTTTTTTTGCCTAAGAAAAAAACAGCCTGCGTGGGAGGCAGAGATAATTCAATATCATCATCTGCTGCCCTCCTCTGCTGGTGGCTCTGAAGAGCAGGAAGGAGATCAGACAGGGGTATTTAAAAAAATTATCACCCTGCAAAGGGTGAATGTCTCCCTTGTGATGCATCTGAGCTCAGCCTGGAGGCAGGAGGTGGGGACCCACATTGCTGTGCCCTGCAGCAGAGAATTGGGCGAGGTGAATTCCTTCTTTACTCGACCTTGGCGCCAGACTGGCTTATCTGGGTCCTCTCTGCTGCCCAGAAAGCTTCCAAATTGAGTTCCATGCTCTGGGAGATGCAGGATGGGGGAAAGGTCTTGGGATGCTCCTTCCCAGCTGCTGTCTCTCCTCCCAAGGATCATTTCCCCGGGTTTCTTATTTTATTTTCTTCTTTAATCGTACCCTGCAGAGGGCTGGCATTAAGCATTCTGAACTTCAGAAATTCCTGTGCTTTCTGAATAATTTCTGCAACAGACCAGACCACCAGCCTGGGAAAGTATGCCGCATTCCTGAGTGCTGGACATGGAGCTGCACAAGAATTTTCTGCCTGCAACAAGCTGGGACATGATGTGACATTGTGTCAGACCCCGGAGCCATTCACTCCGTGCTCTGACCAGCCCCATTTACTTTTCTATTCATTTACTTTTCTATTCACCGGGCTTGTCCCAACCTGCCAGCCTTGAAGAAATGTCCTGTCCACCCCCTCCCCAGCTTGGTCTTTTTCTTCCCTTTTTGCTGCTTCTCTGTATTTTGGTTTTGGCAGAAGCTATTCACCAACAAGGGACAAAGGCTTCAGCTGGCCAAAAGCTGCACAGGCGTGTGAGGGCGATGCTTTGCCCAAAAAATTAAATAATGCCCGTTTTGAGGGGTTTCTCCCTGATTCTTTCCATGCCTACAGCCCCATTTTTGGGGGGTGGCTCCCTGCATCTCTCCTGGGGCTCTGTAGGTCCAACCCTGCTGCAGCTGGCATCCCAAGAGCACAGATTTATTCATGCTGCCGTGAGCAGAGCAGGGAAGGGGCTGGCTGCTGCTCCTGTCAGCAAGAGGAGACCAGAGGCATGCGGTTCCTGCGGGTTTCAAACTGGTTTGGCTGAGACTCTTCCTTCCTTTGGCAGGTCTGCTGGGTGAGGCAGGAGAGCTGAAGGGATCCAACCGGTCTCTGGGAACCAGAAAAAGCAGTTCCAGTAAAAAAAGATTGGATCCTGCTGGCTACAGCCTTAGCACGGGAGTGGAACAGAGTGGAACACGGGAGTGCAGAGTCCAACCCAAGGGTTTTCTGTTTGAGGGTTTCTTTTCAGAAGTCACTTAAATTTACTGCTGGGACTTTTGCACCAGTTTGTCCAAATCACTGCTAGGATGATGGTGAACAGCAGATTATACGGGCCAGGTGCCCAGTTTTCTGTCTTTATGCTGGTTTTTACCTCTCCCAGATGCAAATGCAATTTGGTGTCACTCCTGTGTGACCACAAGCAGAGGAGTGACACCAAAAAATGTGTCTTACGGTGCGCTGGCTGCCAGCTGGCCAGAAAAATCCTTCCTCGGAAAAAAAATGAAATCAAAAGCTGAGCCCTAATGTGCAAACTGATTAGGTTAAACAGAGATTAGCCTGCTTGAGATGCCTGCCCTTCCCACTGCCAGTCCCAGCACTGCTCCCAGGGCCAGCCAGGCTCCTGCTGTGGTCACCCCGGCGTCAGTCGGGCCCTGGGAGCATCACCAGTGCCTCGTGCTCCACACTGTGATCCTGGAGCAGCCTCCAGACCTGATTGCTTGGGGGCTTTGACCCAAGCTGACTTCTGCTCTGGGAAACACAGCTTCCTAATCCTGTCTAGCGAGAAAACAACTTTCTAGGACCTTCCCTACAAGTCAAACATTTTCCTTTCAGCCGTGGCCCCAAAGGCAAACATGCCTGAGGCGGTGCGTGGCAGGGGCAGCAAACAGAGAGCTTTTGGGCAGTGCAGGGTGCCCCACCGGCCTGGCAGGCATCTCAGCTGTCCCCAGCTGCTGCTGGGCCTCAGCCTCAAGCAGACACTGCTTCCCATGGGGATCTCCTCTGGCAGCCAGGTCTGGAGAGTGAAGGAAGCCTGCAGGGATGCACTGCAGGTGAAGGTGCTCTTGGAAAGGGCTTCCCTTTCACGGGATTGTCACAAGCCTCTCCCCCTGCTGCATCCTCTGAACAGCCAGAACCGTGTTGCACATAACTTTATAAAGTTCTCTGCTGGATTTTAATCCTTTTTAATCCCAGAATTCTTTTCTTCTTTCTCCCCCCCCCCCCCTTTTTTTTTTTAACTAAGAATTGCAGAAAGATTTTAATTCCCTGCAGGACTCCAGGCTTGAAGGTTGTGTCATGTTGGGATACAGCCACAGGGTTTGAGAAGAGCTGCTCTCCCGAGGTTCCTGGCATTAATGATCAACACCCTGTGAAACAAACAGGACAGGTTTTGGCACAATCACTTTTTTTTTTTTAATGATCCTTGTGGGCCCTGAGCAACTCAGAATATTCTGTGATTCTAATATTAAATTAAATCTAATATTAAACTCCAGTTACCCGTCCTGAATCTGGAGCCCACTTTGTTGTTCGCTTATTTAACTCGTGATATGTCATTTATTAGATTTGCCCTACAGCTGTTTCCACAAGCTGCAGACTTGCAACGTTCCCTGGAAAATCGTTCCTGAAATGATTGTGGCGTGATGGGCTTTGCCATGTGAGGGTTTGCAGTGAGACAGCAACAAACTCAAGTTCCTGCTTTTTGTGGGGGGCTGTTTCCTACAGGGAGCTGAAATGCAAGATCGACCAGGAGAGCAGCAAGAGGGAGTTCCTGACCAGTCAGTCCCACCTGAATGAAACTCACTGTGTGCACTGCCTGCAGCCCTTCAAGTTCCTGCTGAACAGCAAGAGGCAGTGCCTGGACTGCCGCTTCTACACCTGCAAGAACTGCAGCCGCTACCACAAGAAGGAGCAGGGCTGGGTCTGCGATCCCTGCCGCCTCTCCAGGTGCTGCTCCTTCGGGAATCACAGGGTGCTTGGGGCTGGAAACCCAAAGCCCATCCCATTCCTTAAAGCCCATCTCATTCCTTAAAGCCCATCCAGTTCCACCTCCCCACCCTTCCACTAGACCCGCATCCAGCCTGGCCTTGGACACTTCCAGGGATCCAGGGGTAGCCACAGCTTCTCTGGGCATCCTGTGCCAAGGCCTCCCCACCCTCACAGGGAAGAATTCCTTCCCTCTATCCCATCTAACTCTGCCCTCTGGCAGTGGGAAGCCATTCCCCCTTGTCCTGTCACTCCAAGCCCTTGTCTCAAGTGCCTCTCCAGCTCTCTTGGAGCCCCTTTAGGCACACTCTAAGGTCTTCCCAGAGCTTTCTCTTCTCCAGGTGAGCACCCCCAGCTCTCCCAGCCTGGGTACAGAGCAGAGGGGCTCCAGTCCTCCAGCACCTTTGTGGCCTCCTCTGGTCTCATTCCAGCAGCTCCACATCCTTTTTTTGGGGGGCCCAGAGATGGAGGCAGTTCTGCAGGTGGGGTCTTATCTGACTGGGGGAGACAGGCAGAATTCCCACCTCCCCTGCTGCCCACACTGGGGATCAGCCCAGCACTGGCTGCCCGTGCACATTTCTGGCTCTTGTCAACATTCTCACCCTGCAGCACCCCCAAGTCCCCCTCCCCAGAGCTGTTCCCAATCCATTCTCCACCCAGCCTGTATATTCGCTTGGGATTGCTCCAACCCAGGGGCAGGACCTTGCACTTGGCCTTGTTGAGCCACATGAGCTCCTCACAGCCCCACCTCTCAAGGCTGTCATGGACCCTCTGGGTGTCATTCCTGCCCTCCAGCATGTGACAGTGTGTCAGGAACTGAGGGAACACTCAATCCCAGTGCCCATGTCACCAACATATATGTTAAAGAATTCCAGTCCAGCCATGGGAACACCACTCCTCACTGCTCTGTTCTGAGGGACAAGGTGATGAGGCTCAACAGCATTTGCCCAAACTCAGCATGCTTTTAGATGAAAGCATGCTGTGTTTTTGTTAAGACAGAGTTTTTTGGGTGAGTGCCTGCTGACCTGGGGTGCCTCCTCTCTTTGGGCAGGATCGTGAAGATCGGCTCCCTGGAGTGGTACTACGAACACGTGCGCTCCCGCTTCAAGAGGTTTGGAAGTGCCAAAGTGCTGCAGTCCCTCTATGGCAGGCTGCAGCCAGGCCAGGGGCTCAACTCTGCCTTTCTGGGTGAGGAATGGCCTCTGCTGCTCCTGGGGAATCTGTGCTGCACCACCTCGGGGAGGTGCAGCAGTGGTGGTGCTGCTCTGAGTGTTGTGGGGGACCAAGAATGCTCAAAACGTCTCGGGGACAAAGCAGAGGTTCAGGGTTGTTCATTCAGACACAGAGCAGGTGTTCTTGGCGCCTTTTCTACTGTTAAGTCTTAAGTTTTTACCACAGGCTGGAGAATGTAAGATCGTTACAGTTGGAAAACACCTCTGGATCATCCAGTCCCACCCAGTACTACCATGACCACCATTAAACCACATCCCAAGGTGCCAGATCCATGTGGTTTTTGAACACTTCCAAGGATAGTGGCTCTACCACTTCCTTGACCACCCTTTCAATGAAAAAAATTCCCTACTACCTCATCTTTAATTTTCAAAGTCCCACGTCCTGCAGTTTGTAAGTACGTAAATTTGCAGCTCTGTTTTTTCCTTTATTTTTGGTCTTCTCATCACAGAGCTTGTGGAATTAACCCTAGTTTAACCTGCAGGATAAAGCCAGCCCTCATTTTTTTTTTTTCCCCCAAGACCTGATGATTTTTACAACCAACCTGATTATCCCCTGGCACTGACAAAACTGTGCCAAAATTGGTGAGCTACCTGTCACCATAACTATTTTCTTCAGAACTTCATGGACCTTCTATATTTCTGATTTTGGTCCAAGGGTGCATAAATATACGATTATATTAATATAGCATTATTACTAACCAGCTCCTAGTTGTTATTCATAGTGCTCCTACCCCTTGGCCTATTTCCTTTGGAAGCCAGTGTGGAGTTTATTCCCATCTTGAGGAGCCACAGAAAACTTTGCACACATACCATTGACATGACCTGATTCAACTGCTCCAATCACTCTTTTAAATCACTCTTTAAGCCAGGCAACTCATGGCAGAAATAGCAGCAAAAAAATTTAATGGACTGAGAGACAATCCATGCATTGTTTGGACTGAAAATGCATCAGAGCACACAAAAACCCAACCAATCATGAGGGTAACAGCGCCTTGGGCTGCTTTAAATTGAGATTCTGATGCCTTTTTCGAAGGGAAATGATTTTGCTGTTTATTACTTCGTTAACACCAGTGAATTGGCTTGACCCTCGAGCGAGCAAGGATCTCCTCCTGGGATGTATCCCTGGCCATCTACAGTTGGCTGTGCCTTCCCCTGCAGCTCCCAGGCACGTTGCATCAGCCTGGGAAAGCTGTGGCGAGCAGCTCTTTGACTTTTAAAAGTCAAGTTCCATCTCCAAGCGCCTGTTTTGTTCTCTTTAAAGAGCTTTTGTAACCATTGTTTCTTGTGAGGGCTAGAGAATGAGAATTCCAGTTAGCCATGGCTCTGAGGCTTGCCCTCTGCTCCAGGAACAGGAAGAAAATGTGATTATTAATTTTTTCCCACCATTCTTCTCTTTGTTTAGGTCTTCATGACAGAGTTTATAGCCTGCCAGACATTAACAGTAAGTAAAAAAGGGAATTGAAGCTGATTGAAATTGATTGAAGCAGGGAGCTTGCAGTTCAAGCAAGGTTTCCACAATCTTTATGTCTTCACACCCTTAGAGCTGTGGGCACTTCTGAGGAGATTTGGAGTGATCAGACCAGGGAAAACATTCCTCCACTGCAGTGGAGATGGGCTGTAGTGCTCAACCTCTGCATTGTGGCACATTCAGGTAGATTTGGATACAAGAGGACTTTTAGTTACATGCCATACTTGAATTTTGCAAGCACTCCTTATCTCAAAGCAATGGGTCATGGATAAACAGAAGAGCTGATGGGAATCAGGAATAGCTCCTGAGCCTTCAGGCACTGGAGTCAACCAGGTGGACCTTGGGGTGCCCCTTCACTTCCACATCTGTGATGGTGCACATCTGGAAGGGAAAGCAAGGAGAGGCCAGCAGAAAAAAAATAAATTTGGGGAGTTACTTCTAATTTGGGCGTTTTCACTCCATATAAGAAGCATGGCCTCACCTTCAGGTACTGGTGTGACCCCCAGGGTGGGGACTCACTGCTGCCTGTGTCCCCTGCAGGAGAGTGCCAGCTGCTCAGCAGCTGTGACCCCGCTGGGGATGACAGCGATGAGGAAGACAACGTCCTTCGTGGGGCTGAAGCAGAGCGCTACAGCAGGGTGAGTTTGGTGTTTACAGCAGGAGTTTGGTGCTGGAGCTGCCTCACTCCGTGTCCCTGGCCTGCCCTGGGTGATGGTGGTGGTGGCTTTCTGTGCCACTTTCAGAACTGGGCCTTTCCCTCTGGTTTTCTCCTCTGAGATAAGCTCTTCTCCCACTTAGTGTAAAAACAGCCATGTCAGTAACATCATAAATACTTGTGCTCTGGAAAAAAGGCCCACTCAACACTGTGGAGGTCACTAATTAATGTAGAAGTCCTAGCTCTCACCTGTATAATGAGAACCCACCTGTGGTGGTGTTTGCAGGGGTCCCAGGATGAGGGAAGAGATGAGGATCTGACTCCATGTTTCAGAAGGCTGATTTATTATTTTATGAAATATATTATATTAAAACCACACCAAAAGAATAGAAGAAAGGATTTCATCAGAAGGCTAGCAAGGAATAGAAAGGAATGGAATGATAATAAAATCTTGTGACTGACCAGACAGTCCGGACAGCTGGACTGTGATTGGCCATTAATTACAAACAACCACATGAGACCAATCACAGATGCACCTGTTGCATTCCACAGCAGCAGATAATCATTGTTCACATTTTGTTCCTGAGGCTTCTCAGCTTCTCAGGAGAAAATATCCTAATGAAAGTTTTTTTCATAAAAGATGTCTGTGACACCTACCTTCTTGGGGTTTTTTTACTAATGACCTCAAATATTCAGAGAGATCTGCCTGCAGCATCCTTTCTCTGAGGATGGGGAGATGCTTCAGGGCTCAAAAGCATCACCTGGGTCTCTCTCTGAGCTGTAACCTGGCTCAGCTTCCCCAGAGTGCCTTTGTAAACCAGGAGAGAGATTCTCACTCTGCTTACAGAGGCTGTGGAAATCAGGAACCCACTTTCCTTTGCCTTTAGCACCAGCACACGCTGTACCTGGCTCCCTTCAAGCACGACAGTGTCAGGCCCAAGTTCTCTCTGCAAAAGCAGAGCAAACTAAGGAGAGAAAGGTCCTGCCTCCCCCTTTCCTCAAGGCCAACTGAGTGTCTGACACTGAATTTGCCTTTCTTGCACTTTGTGTGCTAAAGATGTGCAAGACAAAGCGGCTGCTGTCTGTGCACCCCTTTGATTTCGAACTGGACTCGGATTACTCTGCCCAGTCTCGCCGCCAGTCTGCACAGCTCTCTCCAGCAGCCAGCAGCCCGGATGCTTTCCAGGTACTGGGACACTCCTGCACTCCTGGGGGGTTCCTTTCCTTTCCTTTCCTTTCTTCCTCCTCCTCCTTGCTTGCTACCACTGCTCCTTCAGCTGGTGTTGGGAGGCGATGGGCCGGATCTCCATCACTGCTTGCAATCTCTTCTTCCAGTTGAAGTCCTTTGCCTCAGGCCAAGTCAGGAGCAGGACATCTGATCCAAGTAAGGATGAGTGCTAAGATGAGACAGCAGGAGGTTCTCTGGCCCTGTCCCTGCAGATTTCCTTGCTTTCAGCAGACCATGGTTTTCCTGTGTTGTCCCCAGGCTATGGAACACATCCTGGTTTCCACCAGATTCGGTGGTCAAGAGGTTAAATGAAATCAGGTTCTTCTCCCATATTCCCATCCAGTCTGGGGCTGGGTTAGCTCCTGGCCAGCAGCTCCACGAGGCACAGGACCTTTGTGAGGTTGAGATGAATCCCACAGATCCAATGTGAGTGAAGGCCAGCCAGGGGGATAAACACTGCAGGAATGCTGGATACTTCTAAGTAGGAGACTGGATGTGCCTTAGTATCCAGAGCTTTGGCCAGGAGCAAGACTCAGAGAGATCCAGACTCTGTGCCCTGTGATCCCACCAAGCCCAGGGGCTGACCAACCCCACGTTCCTGCTCTGGGGAGGAACAGGGATGGGGCATCCTGGGTGTGACAAAAGGTCTTCCAGCCTGGGAGGCTTCAGGTCCAGCTTTTGGGGCTGCTCTTGTTCGCCTTTCCTGGTGAAGCTGCACTTTTAAAGCATTAAACAGCTCCTTCTTTTTAAAAATGCTCTGATTAAACTATGCTCGGGTAGAAATAGGATGTGCTGAGATCTGTAACAACTTAAACAAATAAATCTGCACAATTCTACACAAAATTATTAGAATTTGGGGGGAATAATTAGATTCCTCTTTTTGTTTGTCTTTTCCCCCTATTTTTGCAGCAGAATTCAGTGTGAGGGCTGGCCTCTGCCAAACTGGATTTATGGATTACAGATTATTTGAGGTGGTGGCTGTTTGAATAAGTGTTTCAAAAGACCAGAGGGCGTTGCAGCCCCGCTGAAGGAACTCTGTGCTTGTAAAAATTACCAGTGCCCCCTGGCAGTGATGGGAAGTATTGCTTAGGGTTCAGCCGCCAGGCAAAGCCTTTAAATGGGATTATTAGGAACTTTTATATTTTATTTAAATATAACTGGCGTTATAAAAAGTCAATCCATGCATATATTGAAGAATGAAGAGAGGAGCTCTTAGTGGAGGTCAGGAGGGACAAGGAGTTGTAGAATCATAGAACAAGTTGGGTTGGAGGGACTGTAAAGATCATCTCATTCCACCTCCTTCCACTACCCCAGGTTGCTCCAAGCCCTGCCCAACCTGGCCTTGGATGCTTCCAGGGATCCAGGGGCAGCCACATCCTCCACATTGTTCTTACTCTGGGGGCCCCCGAGCTGGAGGCAGCGCTACTGATGGGGTGGGGGCGACACCAGTGGAATCTCCGTGGGCAGCTGCTCAGCAGCACCCTCAACTCTTCAGTCCTTCCCAGATTTCCCCACCTCAGCTGAAGATGTCTCCCAGGAGTCCAGGATCGGGGATGCAGACCTGGTGTTCCACCACGTGCTGCAGGAGCCAGGGGCCAGCGCTCCGGAGCAGCACTTCAGCACCGAGGTTCGGCTCACCGTCAACGCGCGCAGGAGGAGGAGCCTGGAGAGAAACACAAAGCCTGGTGGGTGCCCTTGGCCAGATTCCTCTTGTACCCTCTTGGGACAAGTGGCTGCAGGTGTTGGAACAAAGTGGAAACAGCTTTGGGGGTTTTTTTCCTGAACAATCTCAAAGCCTCTTAGAGCGTCGACACGAGTTATCCGTCTGCAAAAGGGATTTTCCTTAGGAAAGAATCTTGCTGACATTATTTAGTTGTAATGAGGCTGATTTTCTCCCAGCAAAGCCAAAGGGGTTGTTCCTCAGGTGTCCATCCCTTTCCTACCTACTTGTGATGTCCAGGGCAGAAGCTAGATACAATCCAGTGCTAGAAACAATGGGATGTGTTTCCTGCTGCAGGCAGAGGAGTTCAACTCTTTAGTAAAGGACCTTGTGGCCGCAGAAAGCTTTGAGTTTTTAGGGGACTGGAACAAGAACTGGAGGTTGCTAAGTGGCATCCTTGTGGCTGGGCAGGGTGCATGGGTAGGCTAAATGGTCTGTGTGTTTGTGAGTCTATAAATACCCACTAAGAGGCAGAATTTGCCTTTTACAACCTCTGTTTTCCCTGCAGGGATGGCAGAGCCAGGAGGGTTGGATATTGGCTTGTGCATATGCAAATGTAGAATATGTCCTTCTGTGTCTCCAGTGGCTTGGATGTATTTTCAGGACATTTGGGAAGGCTGGGTAGACCTTAACACAGCTGTTTAAATTCCCATTCCAAGTCCTGCTGGGGCATCACAGCACCAAGGTCCCCATGCATGTTAATTCCATTTCCTCTCATTGTTTTTGCCTCATTTGAAGTTCTCCTTTACACAGGAGGCTTTCCACGCTTTTCAAATGCTCCATCCTAGACTGGTACCTCTCTGGCCTGAGCCTGACCATCATCCAGCACCTGGGCAGTGCACAAAGGGCAGCATCCAAACCTGGGCTCCCACAAAGCTGGGAAGGCAGTGGTGGTTTTTGGTGAGGCTGTTCAGGGCATGACAGCAAGGATGGTGCTCCTCATGCCTTGTGTGGGACCCTGCTGTGCTTGGTGCTGTGTGGGCACAGAGTGTGGAGCTGCAGCCTGGCCCAAGGCTTAAACTTGGACCTTAAACTTGGTCTGGCTTGCAGAAGCCCCTCCTGCCAAAGGGTAGGAAGTCTGATCTGGGGAAATGCCTCATTATTTATTTGTCTTAAGGATGGAGCCAATGCCCAGGGAGGAACTCAGGGGTGTTGATGCCCTGTGAAGGCTGACCTAGAACAGAGGCTGGGCAGAGTTAAAGAATAAGGTAGGGATTTATTAAAAGGCCTTAATGGTTACAGCTTGGGAAGCACAAGAGCCCAGCCAGGGCTGCACCCAAGATGAACCAAAATGGTCACAAAATGATCACAAGGTCTCTCACTTTTATAAGTTTTGCTCCATTTGCATATTGGAGTTAATTGTCCAATATGCAAATAAAGGTTATGAGGTCTCATCCTCCTTGTTTTTCTCTCTTCATTCCACATTGTTTGTGCTCTTGGGCCTGAGATTTAGATCATTTGTCCTTGGTGCCCAGCTATAGAAGGAATTGTTTTGTCTCCCTGTTTTGTGAAGAGAGCTCACCATGCCCTAATATGAAGCTCAGAAATGCACACTAAAGCAGCACAGAATTATGAAATCCAAAACCTGAGCACCCCTGTGAGTGCCCTGTCCCTCTCTCTCCCCAAGGCCTGCCCTGGAACGAGCCGCCCCGGGCGCGGTACTCGGCCGACATGGACACGTCCGACGAGGAGCTGAGGGGAGCCCAGCTGCCAGCCCAGCCCAGCAAGCGCAGGAACAGAGCCTCCTCCCAGGAGAACATCAGCCACTCCTCCAACCAGGTACCCAACAGCCCCTGCTGACACCCCTGGCCCCGTCCCTCTCGTTGCCTCTGAGGTGCAGGGTGGTTCAGGGGAGAAGAGAAGCTGCAGTGGCCAGCTGGGGTTTGCTTTTCCAGTCAGCACAAAGAAAACCAGCTCTGGTTGGTGCTTCCATGGCCCGTGCTGCCATCATAATAACAATCCTGCCCTTGCTGCTGCTCATTTCCCAGCTTGTCCTTATTAATCTGAGTTACTTGTGGGTTCTTGTGTCTCCAGAAAGGCTTGCTTAAATGGGATGTGCCAGTGCTTAATAAGCAGATGGAGGTCTGGAGATGGATGTTTAATAAGCACCAAGATCCTCTTCCTCTGCAGAGTGTTCCTGCCTCGGCAGGAGTGGGTCAGGGTGACCTGTCACATACCTCTCCTGAGTGATGGAAATGAGGGGAACAGCCTAGAGAAAGGTGTCAGACAGGATCTAAGCTTGTGTTTTAATTGCCAAGCGAGGACCTGCTGTTCCTGGTGCTCCCTTTGCCAGTGGTGGGCAGTGAGGATGGTAAAGCTGATCTGGTTCCTCAGATCTCATGAGCAGCAAAATGCAGAGTGATGTTTGGCTGCAGATGCAGGGGCAGAATGACTTTCCAGTCTCACAGCTGGTAATTTGGCATGTCCTGGAGCCCTCTTTGGGCAATCAGTGAGATCTGTGACCACAGCCATCCCTCAGTGTGACGGTGTTCACAGGGGTCTTAGGATGAGGGAAGAGACGAGGATCTGACTCCATGTTTCAGAAGGCTGATTTATTATTTTATCATATATATTATATTAAAACCACACTAAAAGAATAGAAGAAAGGACTTCATCAGAAGGCAGCTAAGAATAGCAGAAGGAATGATAACAAAGGTTTGTGGCTGGGACAGAGAGTCTGAGCTAGCTCACTGTGATTGGCCATTAATTAGAAACATCCACATGAGACCAATCACAGATGCACCTGTTGCATTCCACAGCAGCTGATAATCACTATTTACATTTTGTTCCTGAGGCCTCTCAGCTTCTCAGGAGGAAAAATCCTAAGGGAAAGATTTTTCATAAAATGTGTCTGTGACATCTCAGCACCACACTTCACGTGCCTGGGTAGGCAAAGCTTCTCTTTGCCATTTACTCCTGTGGGCACATGTTTTAATTAACAAATACCATTCCTTCCTCAGCCAGCAGTAAATGGGAGAGCCCTGGACTGGGTGTCCTTAATGAGGCCACGCTGTGTTAGGCACGAAATGTGCACCGTGCTTTACAGTGGGCAAATGGGCCCAAATTCCTACCAACGCCTCCCACGACGTCCTCCAGGAGCTGGGAAAGCTCCCACATCCCACATCGGGCTGTGGTTTGTTCCCTCACACCCGGTGGTGTGCAGCCCTGTCACCCTAATGGTTACGAGGCATCTTCTCAGTCCCACTTTACCCGCATCTGCTCTTGTGGCAGCGTTGCTAATTAGCTGAAATAGCTCCCCATCCTCGCTGCCCTTTATGCTGCTGATGTGTTTACAGCCAGCAACCATCCTCCCACCCAGCTCCAGCTAAATCAGGGGCTCTTCCCTGTTCCTGTGACTCCAGGAGCTGAAGGTTCAAGAACAAAATTTTAAAAAAAGAAGAACTCTATTTTAAAAAGCACTTATGAGGCATTCAGTTACCTGAATTGGTAACTGTGTGGGTCTTTGCCTTCAGGTTTTTAAAAGTCAGGTAGCAACAGGACCAAGCCACAAGGAATAGCTCCAATTTACCAAGTTTCTCCCCAGAAGCCATCCTGCTGCACCTCAAGGGAGTTCAGTGGTTCTGGATTCCCAAACCTTTGATGCTGTCTGGCTCCTCTCTTTTACACAAAGTTTCTGTTAGAGTAACCTGTCCTCCCCCCTCAGCAGCAAGGGGTAGTTTCCCCTAGCTGGTGTTGTGGGCTGTGCTTTCAGCTTATTTCCCAGCTTATTTCCCCTTGGATGTTTTAGTGCAGAGCACACTTTGCCAGCCTTTGTCACACTGGGAGAAGTGCAGGAGAAGTGCCCTAATGGGGTGCATCAAAGCCAGCCTTGACTGGGAAGGAGAATGAAGCTTTTTTCCAGCTGGTAGATATCCATCAATATCAACAGCAGCCCTGCTTCAGGCTCTGATCTCTCTTCCTGATGGAGATGGGGCAGTGATGACTCCTGGTTTGTCACCATCATCAGAGGCTTCTCATTGCCCCTGGGAGCCCTGCAAGACTCAGGCCTCAAACAGGACTGAAAAACCTCTCAGCAATGGGGCTGAAGTGCTTCCTGCCAGGGGGTTTAATGCTGCCTGGAAGGGCTTTCACTTCGGGGTGGTGATGACAGCTCTGCTCTCCACAGGGCCAGGTTTTTATATTCATCTTCCCTTAAGCAGATGCAATCATGCCTGGCTGTTGTGAGGGTCTAATTAATCAAAGGCTGGCAAGCACAAAAACTGAGTGAGAGGATGGAAATTGTTACAAAAACAAAGCCCACCCCTCAAATCTCTTTGTTACCACCTCTGCTTACTGCTTTTGCTGCTTGCTCCCCTTTGAATGGGCAGAAGCCACTCAGAACAGCAGTGATGCACTGGTAGTGTCATGAAACAGGCAATATTTATCATCATTTATGCTTTATTTGTCTGGATCAAAGGAAAGAGATTTAGGTTTTTTTCAAAGAAAGAAAAACTTCAATTTCTAAAGGGAAATAAAAAAGCTTCCTTTAATGTTTACAGTGATCATAGAGATGTTTTGGTTTAAATGGATCTGAAAATTATCTCATTCCACCCCCCTGCCATGGGCAGGGGAACTTTCCACTGTCCCAGGGTGTTCCAAGCCCTGTCCAGCCTAGCCTTGGACATTTCCAGGGATCCAGGGGCAGCCACAGCTGCTCTGGGCACCCTGTGCCAGGGCCTGGCCAGCTTACAGAGAGCAATTCCCTCCTAATGTCCAATCCAAATCCACCCTCACCACAAAGGTTTGTCTTGGTTCTTGAGCACAGGAAGTAACTTCTCTTTGATTTCCAGGGTTCTGTCTGTCTTTAATTTCTCTGCCCTTCTCCCCATGCCCCGTTTTTAGTCAGAAGACTGAGGGAGAAGAGAGGCGTGAGCATCTGCATCAGAGAACTCAGAAAATTTCAAAGTGGTGGGGAAAACTTTCAGGTTTTTCTACTCTGATTTTTTTTTTTGTGGATTCCTCTCCACCACTGTGTTGGCAGGCATGTGATGGGGTGGTTACAGCTGGAAAAACATGTTAGTAGGAAGTGAAAATGGATGTTGACTTCAATTTGGGGCAGCATGGGAATGATGGTGAGATGGGTGGCTTTATTACACGCTGGTGTTTTTATTGGTGGTGGGGTTTTACATTCACTGCATCACAGCTCCAGATGCTTTGGTGGGAACTGCCTTGTGCTGGGGGCTTGGGGTTGCTTGGAGTTTTCCAGATTTGAGGTTGCTCTGCACCTCCTGGAGCTTCCTGGCATTTTTAAGCCATTCCTTAAAAGATTTTATTTTTTAATGTCTTTGAACTCTGTGCACGGTGGCAGTGTGCTGCTGCTTGCTTTCCTCTGCTGGTTTCCTCACTGTGGTGGCTGGTCTGTTCTGTTCTCTCCTCCTTTTCCCTCTCCCTGCCTCTCTCTCCCCTTTCCTGTAGATCCATGAGCTCAACACTCGCATGTCCGCAATCGAGCGCGTGCTGAACCGCTTGGAGGAAAAAATCCTGGCGCACCCTGACGAGGTAACCAGGCAGGAATCCTGCAGGGATGGGCCCTGGGCTCTGCTGCTCCCCTCCCCTGCCCGCTGCAGAGGCAGCCAGCGCTGCAGGGAGATACAAAATCATGGAAATATTTAGGGTGGAAGGGAGCTCTGAGATCAACACTGACACGGCCAAGGCCTGCACTGAACCCTGTCCCCAGGTGCCACAACCACCTGGGCTGTTTGAGTTCACTCCTGTTTTGGCCTTGGAGGCTGTTCTCCACTTCCAGGTGATGGAGAGCCTTAGAAAACATTGCATGGCAGGGCAGAAACAGCAGGAAATTGAACCCATTTAGACCCAGTGCCTTCCTTGCCCCCCTGCACAAGGGAATTTTGGGTTCCAGCTGATGCTTCATGAAGTGCTAATTTCAGGAGTTTTGTTAGGTGGTGTCTGTGTCTGCAGAGCTGTGACAGCTCATTTGAACTCATGGGACACTCAAGTGTGCCTATGAGGAGGGCACCAGGTTATTGTGACTGTGAGAGCTGAGTCAAGGAGCATTTCTAACTCTCTTCTGAGCTGCCCTGACCTTACCATGCCATCAAACTTGGAAGAAAGCAGCTAAATTAAGTTAAAGCTGAGCAACAGTGCAGAATCTGTGAATACTTAGACCGCTTAACATTGATTTTTGGGCTTCTAATTTTAGACTATGCACTCTTTTCCTTCATGTGAACCCATCACCACTGTGGCAGCTGATGGCTCAGTAGAATGGATGGTGATAATTACAGGCAAAGCCCCCAGGCATGGATAGAACAATGCAATTTTTCCTTTTTTTTTCTAAAATTCACAGAAGGGGGTGGCCACAATTTTAATCATTCATGGTTTCCATCAGTAATCCTGGCCAAGGGAATAAGAGGTTCTCACAGTGTCAGGTTCCCACACTTTATTCCCATATCCAGGGCAAATCAGAGCACAGTGGGTCCAAACAGCTAAGGGACCCTGAGGCTGAGGTTAATTACAAAGCAAAGTTTTCTAGCAGAAAGGATAGCAGAGCCCTGAAATAGGTTGCCTGGGAAAAAAATATTGCCTGCTGCAGGTGCTGCTATTGGAGGCAGTTAAAAAACAGCTCAGACAAAACCTCATCAGGTATGACACAGGTAATTGTATTCCCATCTTAATGCAGGGATCAGCAAGTTCAGGAACTTCTGGAGATCTATTCCAGTGCCTGGGAGTTTAACAGGATTCTTCTCCAGCTGCCATGAATTGCACCTAACACAGGGGTGGGTGGCAATTTGCCACCTATCCTATAGGGAAATTTGCTGTGTGGGTTCTCATCCCAAATGAGATCACCCAGAGGTTCCAGAAGTCACCTCAGGGAGTGGCCATTCCCATGGCTGCTTCCCTCTCCCTGGTGGGCCTTGTTTCTGGATTGCTGTGATCTGTGACCAGCCATGCCATGGCTCCTAATGAAAACGTGGTGATTTTTGGCCCCAAATCCCTCATACCTGCCTTTTCAAGGCAATTTTCCATGGAGAAAACCTCGCAGGTTCTGTGTGTGGGTAAAATGGGAGTGGAGGTTCTTCAGGTCAGGGGTTTGTGTTCCTCAGTGAGGAGCTGGAGCACAGCTCTCTGGGCTCTGCTGTGCCCTGGGGTGTTTGGAAGCCCCTCTGGCCCTCAGAGCCACCAGCCATGCCACGGCTCCTAATGAAAACGTGGTGATTTTTGGCCCCAATCCCTCATGCCCACCTTTTTAAGGGTGGGAAAAAGGCGATTTTCCATGGAGAAAACCGAGCAGGTTCTGTGTGTGGGGAAAACGGGAGTGGAGGTTCTTTAGGTGAGGGGTCTGTGAGGAGCTGGAGCTCAGCGAGGAGCTGGAGCTCAGCTCTCTGGGCTCTGCTGTGCCCTGGGGTGGTTTGGAAGCCCCTCTGTGCTCCCACTCCTTGAGTTCCTCTGCTTGCTGAGCCTGTCTGGACCTGGGCAGGCCCCGTGCCCACCACAGGAGGTTCTCACACCTTTCCCTTCTGCTCCTCCAGTCTCTGGCCCCAGAGTCCCACACCGACCCTGATGCTGAGGAGGAGGAGTTGAAGAGGAAGCTGGAGGAGTTAGCCAGCAACATCAGCGACAAAGAAGTCTCCTCTGACGAGGAGGAGCGTGAGGAGGAGAAGAGGGCAAAGAAACCAGAGATGAGTTCCTCCACCGAGGCCATGACCAGGGATGTTAGAAAGGTAATCTGTGCCCTGCCACCCACATCATTCCAGGCTGCATCCATGGCTCCTGCTGCTCTCAGTGCTTTGTGGTTTTACACCATAAAACTGTGACTCTCCTTCTGTCCCACCCCTCCACCAGGGCTGTGTCTGTGTCTGCTTTAAAAATGTCAAGGGATAGGGAAGTCCCAGGGTGTTAGATCTGGATATTTGTCATTTTAGGCTCTCCTAGTCCCAGCCAAGAGTCAAAAGTAAAGCCTCTGAGAGTTCTTGAAGGCTCCTGCCTGTCATGGAGAGGTGCACAGCCTCCACATCCACCTAAAGGAGTTGGTCCCAGGATCTGGAAGTCACTATGGAGAAGAGCTCTGGGGTGGGACAAGAGCTTGGTGATGATTTAGTACCAGCAGCCTTTGTCAGGCACCTGCTACAGCCTGAAATGTCTTTTCCACACCTTGTCAGTGCTCCTGAATCCCTAAATCCCTGACCCCACTCTGCTAGGTTAGCACCTCTTGCATTTCCAGCTCTGTGCTGGCTCCTGTCCCTGCTCTGTGGTGGGTGACCCATGGGGACAGGGGGACAGATCACAGCAGTGTGTCCCCAGTTGTGCAGAGGTTCCAAAATAATCCATTAGGGATGAACACATAGTAATTTATGCATCTAAATGCAAATAAGTGCACCTGCATGAAGATATTTCAAATCCTCTCAATCCCCAAGAAATTGTTAAATGAGGATTAAACGGATAAGCTTCTGTTCCTGCCTGCCAGGAAAAGGTGGAGCTTGTGCTGACATGGCTTTATAGTTAATGCAGTTCATTTTTGGCAAGCAGATCTTGATTGTTACTTGATTTTGGCTTTTTTTACTGAAGGAGGTGAGTTGATTGGTCTGCAGCAATAGCAATATTAATACATTTATTAATATTTGCACAGATGGAGAGGTCAGCAGGTTTGCTCATCCCCTCCCTCCTGCCTTGGCTGCGGAAAGGGGATGTGTGAATTTGCTCCAAAATGGTGGCAAAGGAAGGGAACAGGCACCACGCTGCCCCTCTCCTCTCCTGCAAAGCTTGGATTCTGTGGTGACTTTCATGGTGCCATAAAGCCTCCCTTTAATGTGCATTTATTCCTCACCACACAAAACCTGGTGGGTTTGGGCACCACTTGCTGTGCTCTCACTGAGCAGCAGAGCTTCCTCACCCACAGCATCCTTTACTGCCTCCTTTTTCCACATCCTCACCCACAGCATCCTTTACTGCCTCCTTTTTCCTGATCCTCACCCCCAGCATTCTTTACTGCCTCATTTTTCCTCATCCTCACTCACAGCATCCTTTACTGCCTCCTTTTTCCTGATCCTCACCCACAGCATCCTTTACTGCCTCCTTTTTCCTCATCCTCACCCACAGCATCCTTTACTGCCTCCTTTTTCCTGAGAGCTGCTTTCAGATGGTTCCTGCAGCCAGACTTAACTTCTCCCAGACTGAACAATCTGCATCATCTTGATAACCATTTCTAATTAAGTGTAGATAAGTGGTTTTTCACTAAGCCAAGGTTTCTGTGTTTGAAACCTCTGTTTCTGTGTTTGAAACCCAGAACTGTTGGTTTGGTATTAGTGTAAGATTCAGGTTTCTCCAGATTTTTTACTTTTATGCCCCCAGGCCCTGGTATGAAACAGGGAGGAGTATTGAGGTAGAAATGCCTGCAGTAGCTGGACCAGCCTTGGTTAAAGGTTCTCAGCATGGATGATGTTTAGCACCAACTTTCCTTATACTTGCAGCAAATCCAGGTTTGGATTCCGTGTGATTCTGAGGGATTTTTGACAGGAGGTTCCTCCAGTCAAGAGGAAATCTTCTGACTGAGGGAGCACTGTGATGGAAGCACACAAACCTGATGGAAAATGTGAAAAAAAACTCTGCTGTACCGTGAAGGCACCATAAAATGATAAAAACATCATCTGCACTGAGTTAGCTGGTTCTCTGCAGGACAGCTTGCCCGGAAATACGTGCAGCTGTCAACACAACCAGCACATATGTCACCCCCATCTCCTTGGTTTCTAGGGAATTATCAGCTGGGAGAGACGTGATGAGTTTCTTGGGGCCATTTTTACCCGTGTTTAGCACCTCATCAAGCCGAGGGCAGCACTTAGGGGCAGTTATTGCCATCAGTGCTCCTTGGGGTGGGAAGAGAGGTCATAATTAGCCCCGAGTTCTGTCACTGTGGCAACACAATAATTTTATGGGGTCAGGCTGGTTTTGTTCCTTTGCCACCAACTCAAGGAGTTGTTTGCATCCCCGCTCAGGCCCGCTGAGGTGTAAAGCAATATGCTGCAATTAGATCTCACCTGCTGCCTAACCCAGCGGCCCTCAGGTGCTTCCAGGGAGAGAAACATCCCTCCCTAAGCTCTTCTCCAAGCCTTTGGAAGTGACCTCTTTTGTCACAGCAGAAAGCATGGGCTGAAATCAAAGCTCTGCTGGTGGAGAGTCATTCAGAAGCCCCTCAGTCGCCACTCCTGCCTCTTCACACAGCTCCTGGAGCTCTGGTGCCCCTCTCCCCCCTGGCTTGTGCTGGTTTAGGCACCACATTAACATAACGTTGTGAAAAATGCCAAACACTTGTTTTTTAAAATTTTAAAATTTAATAGTAATAAAATGGTTATAAAAATAGTGATACAATTAGAGTAATAATAATTTGGACAATTTGGATTAGGACAATATGAGACAATAGAAACAAAGAGTTACAGACGGTCCGGGTACCTTTTTCTGGGCAAAATAAGCCCAAAAGAGGACCCATGTTGACAGAGGATTAACCCTTAAAAGCAACAGCCTGTTGCATATTCATATACCTCATACATGATGCATAAATTCCATTCAAACACAGGATTCTCTCTGGTCAGTGTCAACTTCTTCCTCTGAATCCTGACAGCGCCTTCGAGGTGGGAAGAAGTTAATTTCTTTTGATAATGCAGCAATTAATTCTTTTTCTCTAAAAGATTCAGGTGTTCTGTTGCTGCTATCTCTCAGCGAGTCCTTTCTTTACAAAAAAAAGTATCCTACACAGCACAGTTTCTATTTTAACATTTTTTTTATAACCTAAACCTATATTTAACAACACTACTCAAGAGAATTAATACAGCATCACTTTCTAACACCACACATACAATATTCATTTTAATACTTGCGAAAAGCCAATCCTAAAATACACATTTTTCACAACATCCATATTTTTTTTCCCCCTCCCTCCCTGTGCTTTGGCTCTGGCAGAGGTCGTCGGCTCAGGCTTTGAGTGAGATCACGGCCAAAGTGCTGAGAGCCATTAACGCCACGGAGGAGGCGGTGTGGGAGTCGGTGCATGGACACAGCCAGGGCTGGGCCCTCCCTGCAGGGCACCTGCCAGCTGGGAGAGAGGTGGACGAAGTGTACCAGGAGCTGGAGGAAAATGTAAGGCTCCCCAGAGGTTTTGGGCAGAGGAGGGGTGGTGTGGTGGTGTTCGCAGGGGTCCCAGGATGAGGGAAGAGATGAGAATCTGACTCCATGTTTCAGAAGGCTTGATTTATTATTTTATGATATATATTATGTTAAAACCACACTAAAAAAATAGATGAAAGGATTTCATCAGAAGGCTAGCTAAGAACAGAAAAGAATGATAACAAAGGCTTGTGAGTGACCGAGACAGTCTGGACAGCTGGACTGTGATTGACCATTAATTACAAACAACCACATGAGACCAATCACAGATGCACCTGTTGCATTCCACAGCAGCAGATAACCATTGGTTACATTTTGTTCCTGAGGCTTCTCAGCTTCTCAGGAGAAAAAAAATCCTAAGGAAAGGATTTTTCATAAAACTGTCTGTGACAGGGTGGGAATGCAAAGGAATCACCCACCCTGGAATTTCTTGTTAGGGGGTAGGTCAGCATTGAAAGGATGATCAGCAGAGGGATTAAAAAGTCTGGCCTTATGGTACAGCAGCAAAAGAAGGTGCTCTGTCTTGTGGCTTTCCCTCCCTTGGTTCCTGGTCCCCACCCGGCTCTAGTGTGGCTTTGCTGGATTTCAGCAGTCCCTGCTGCAGCAAAACTCGTGTCCCATTCCCTCATTCCCTTCAGCTCCTCCCCAGCACTGTGTGTGTTTCATCAAGGGGTTCATGAGGATCACCCCCCTCTTCACTAAGGCTGCTTATGCCTGGGGCTGATGGGCTGGAGCAGGTGACAACTTCACAGCCAGGGAAGTTGTAACCAATCCCACTGCAAGGTTTGTGTGACCCTGGAGCACTGACAGCTTCTTTAGCCACCATAAACCCATAGGAATTTGTTCCCTGTGGAAATGTTGTGCACCCACAGTGCCCTGTACCAAGCTCCAAAGAAACAGTTCAGAGAAGAGCTGGATCTCCGCCTGGGCGGTTGGGTTTTGCTGCAGGGAATGCCCTGCAATGGGGAGCAGGGTTTTGGGGACACACTCTGTGGCTCATCTCTCAATCCCTGTGGCTCAGGTTGGGTGGTGCATGGCCTTAGAGTTTGCACTGGGAGTCTTGGGAGTGTGGTGCTGTGATTTGGGTGGGTGGGCTCTGCAGCTCAGTGCAGGCAGAGGGATCTTTGCACAATGCCCAGCCCAGAGAAAGCTGAGAGGGCTGGAGGAGCAGAAATTGCCATGGCAGTGCTGACATCCTGGGATCAGTCAGCAGAGCAGTGGCCACATCTGATGGGATTGCATAGGGATGTGTTAATGCTTCCTGAGCTGCCTGGCTTGGACCTGTGTCCTTGGAGTAACCTGGGAGGGGACAAGTGGCAGTAAAACCAGAGGTTTTATTGGGATACATCCTTTTACCCTTCTTCTCTAGGCAGCAAAGGCTGCCCTGCTCTGACCCTGCTCCCAGCAACACAGACTGAGCAGGTTTGGAGAGTCAGTTTTCCTCCTCCCCACAGGACACAGCAGCCTGAGCTGGTTTGCAGCAGGTACCTGCTCTCCCCCCGAGCACACAGCACAAAGTGCTGCTGCTGCTTCTCCAGCAGGTCACTGAGTTTTGGTCCTTCCTGTGTTCCCACTGAGCCTCTCACCACTTCACACTGTTGGTAATTGCTCTCCAAAAGCCCAGAGAAGGGATGAAATAAGAAGGAAAGCCGTGTCAGAGCTGACTGGCACTGTCTGTGCTGCAAGGCAGCAAGGCGGTCAAAAAAGAGCGGCAGGAGCTGCTGCATCCGGGGCTGCAGCCACAGCATGACAGGAGAGCTCCAAGAAGGTTTATTCTTCAATGCAAATTTTCCTTTTGCTGCATTTCAGGTGTACCTGGCTGCTGGAAAGACCTACCAGCTTGAGAAGACCCTGAAGGAGCTTGAGGAGGGGGCTCAGCACAGCGGCACCACTGACTCGGAGCTGTCGGAGCTGGAGGACAAAGTGGCCTCAGCAGCTGCCCAGGTGCAGCAGGCAGAGAGTGAGGTGAGGGCCTGACCCTGGCAGATGCTCTGCCCAGCCAGAGATGGCAGACAGAGCCACTGATGGCTCCTCCAACCACCACCTGTGTCCCTTTTCTCCTCCTCCTACAGATATCGGACATCGAATCCCGAATCGCGGCCCTGTCCGCTGCAGGGCTGACAGTGAAGTCTGTGGAAAAGGCAAAGAAGGCAAAGTCGAGTGTGCTGGTGAGCATGGAGGGGGGTGGCTGTGATGTACCTGCTCCCCAGGGTGCTGGGAAGGGCTGTGTAGCTCACTGAGCCGTTCCCAGCCCTCCCCGTGCTGCCTGGTGCTCTGAGGTGTCTGCCTCCTCCTCCTGCAGCCCCAGAGACACCTCTGCCTCCCTCTGTCCACAGGCTGCCTGTCTCCATTCTCCTGCTCCTGCCAGCAGCAGCCCTGGGGAGTCTCTGGATGACATTAAAGTGAGTGTGTGTCAGTCACAGGCTGTGGCACAGCCTGGGCACAGCCAGGGGGCTGCCATCAGAGAGAGCAGTGGCCTCATGGAGACCCCTGCCCTCCCAGCCCTTGCCCACAGCAGGCTGCTCTTCTTCTCTTGCAGGCAATGCCCGGGCTGCAGAGGTTCAGGAGGAAGTTCAACAGCCCCCTGGAAATCACCAGTAAGGAGCAGGGCCCTGCCCATGGGAGATGGGCACTCTGGGGGGCTGAGCTGGGCTTTGGGGGTCTGCATCCTCCCTGTGCTGTGTGTCTGCAGTGGAGTCCCCTTCCCTGTGCTCATGGGCAGTGAGGGCAGAGCAGAGGTCAGGCTGAGGTGGCTGAGTGCTCCAAGAACCAGGAATTGTCTGCAGCCACCCCTCGGTCCAGGGAGACACCACAGTGCCTTCATATCCTGGGCTGCTGGGTCTCAAAGCCTCTCCTCAGCCCATCCCCTCTTCTGACAGCAATTCCTCCCTTGCTTGGCCACCTTGGGGAAGCTGTCCTTCCCTGGATGGCGTGCCCCACCTCTGGAAGTGCTCCAGGCCAGGCTGGATGGGGCTTGGAGCAACCTGGGACAGTGGAAGGTGTCCCTGCCCATGGCAGAGGGTGAGACAAGAGGGGATTTCAAGTTCCTTTCAACCCAAACCATTCCATGACTCTGGGAATCTTGGTCCTGCTGCCCACCTGACTCAGCCTGGGGCCAAGAATCCCTCCAGGGCCCAGCTCTGGACAGAGAGCAGCTTGGGAGAGCTTCAGAGTGGATGGTGAAAGTGAAACTTGGCCCAGCAGCTGGTGTGGTGGGGGGAAACGCTTCATTCTGACCAGCATCAGCGAGTCAGAATTTTCCAGTCACTGGAAACGCTTCATTCTGACCAGCATCAGCGAGACCCATTAGGAAATTACTTTTCTGTTTCTCTCTTATCTCTCCTCACAAGCTCAAAGGCAGAAAGAGTGGCTCTCCTTCCAGATAATGGGAGATGAAGGGAGGGAAGGGGGGAAGGATCATTGATTGCAGAGGCAGAGCAGCATTTCCCCCATTCACACAGACAATTAGCAGTGCTGTTCCCAGTGCTGGCAGATGGAAAGGTCCCTTGTCCTCATCCTCCTCAGGAATCATCTGCTCTCCTTCCTGCAAAAGGCAGGCAGGTAAAGGTGCAGCTGGTGGAAGAGGAGATGAATGAACAGGCCAAGAGAGTCTCAAGAGATGAAGAGGAGAGGAGATGAATGAACAGGGCAAAAGATTCTCAAGGCTGGGGCAGGGAGAGCTGACAGCTTCTCCCAGGCTGGGGTTTTGTTGCACCACCAGAGCAGAGTGTGGAAAGGCTGGCCCAGCTCACACAGAGCTCTGGGGTGTGACGGTGTTCACAGGGGTTCGAGGATGAGGGAAAAGATGAGGATCTGACTCCATGTTTCATTAGGCTTGATTTATTATTTTATGGTATATATTACATTAAAACTATACTAAAAGAATAGAAGAAAAGGATTTCCTCACAAAGCTAGCTAAGAATAGAATATCAAAGAATGATACTAAAGGTTTGTGGCTCGGACTCTGTATCCAAGCCAGCTGGGCTGTGATTGGCCATTAATGACAAACATCTAACATAGACTAATCACAGATCCACCTGTTGCATTCCACAGCAGCATATAACCAATGCTTACATTTTGTTCTTCAAGCTTCTCAGGAGGAAAAATCCTGAAGAAAGGATTTTTCATACAAGATGTCTGCGACACTGGAGAGCCGAGCAGCAGCAGCTCTGTCTCCCCCTTACCAAAGCGCTCCCATCCCAGAGAGGGAGTGCTGGGATGCCCCCAAACCCGCAGCCAGAGGGGGATTGGTCCATCCCAAGTGACTTGGTGGTCACTGAAAGCTCTGGTGGGGTGGGTGAGGAGCTGCTGGCCACTTGTCCTGCCTCCCTGCAGGTTTTGACGACTCCTTTGACCGTAACTCCGCGTACCGCGGCTCGCTGACGCAGCGGAACCCCAACGGCAAGAACAGGAGGGTGGAGCGGCTCTTCGCGGTACGGACCAGCCCAGGGCAGGGCTGCTGGCCTGGATTCGCCTGGGAATGTCCTCCCGCAGGTTCTCCTCAGGCTGATGGAGCCCTCAGCTCCCTCCCTGCTGCCTGCTGAGGGCAGGAACGCCCGGGCACCACCCCTGAGCTCGGGGGTGTCACAGCCCCAGAGAGGATGAACATCAAGGAATTCCCTCTCCCTGCATGGTCTGTGGGGTGGGACAGGGACTCCTCACTCCTAGAAAGGGACAAGGGGATGCTGGGCTGGCTCAGGGTGGCCTGGACACTGAGGTTTCTCCTTCTTGTGCCCCGCAGAAGCCTGTGATGACCCACCTGTCCTGAGGAGAGGGGACCTCCCTGCTGCCGCGTTTCAGTGAGGATACGAGACCTCAGCAAAGCCAAGCCTCTCACAGCCTTCCCTGCAACTCTTCCTTCTCCTGAGTCCTGAGCCCTCTCTCCCTGAAACCCTGGACAGAAAGGAAGCCAGAGGCCATGGGAGGAGGAGCAGAGCACTGGGGTGCAGACACGTGGCCGGGGGTTCTTGTGGGAGGATGCTGGAATGGGACCTTGGGCTGGGGCAGCTCTTTGGTGCTGGGGCAGCCAAGGGGACCAGAGAGGTGCAGAGCAGGAGTAGTGACCTCCTTGGGGGGCAGCTGGGTGTTAGTGTGACATTCAGGACAGGGACAGGGACAGGGCAGGGACATCCAGCACGGGGACAGGGCAGGGACACAGCCCTCCCTTGGCAGAAGCTGTCAGTGCCTGTCCCTGCTCTCTCCAGGCTGCTGAGAACAGGGACAGGAGCTGACAGTGAGCGTGGAATGCCCTTGGGATGCCCCAGGTGGAAGAAGGATTCAGGTACCCCAGGTAGCAGAGGGATCCAGGCATCCCAGTGCTGGGATTCACACCCTGATGCTGGTCCCCTCCCAGTGAGCTTTTTGCTCTTTGCCCCAAGCCATGCAAACATCCAGGGATGGCACTGTGGGGCCTCTTGGGGCCACCCCATCCTTGGGCAGGGCTGTGCTGCCCTTTGGGGGCTGCAGCAGCCCTGGGCCCTGGTGTCAGCCTCCCCCAGCTCCCCCAGGACGTTTGTTTGCCTCCAGTATTCAGCTCTGCACTGATCCCAGTGGATCAGCACCCGCCCCATTCCAGGATGGGCAGAGGGTTGCTTTCTCTGGCAGGTCACTTTGGAAGAGGTTTTTTGTTCTGTCCCTGTCCTGTACAGCCCCCACTCTCCTTCCCTCCCTCCCCAGTGGGCAAAGTGGGGAGGATCGCTCTCAGCTGGAGCAGGGACATCAGACCAATGCTGAGTTTCCCCTCCATGGCCACCCAGGCTGGATCATTTTAGGCAATTCCTGAGCATCTGAGCTAAAACCACTTTAATTAGGAGCTGTAGGGTGAGTTCTCATGCAAGTAACACATTTGTTTGGCTTTGCTAACAGTAGAGGCTGCTAACTGCCTAGGAAATTATCCTGTGGTCATCCCAGAGAGTATTCTAAGTCCACAGTCTGGGCTCCCCAGCTGGAAACAAATCCAGTTTCTTAATTTCAAATGAAATCCTTGTGGCCTGAAGCTCAGCAGGGTAAGTGCAAACCCTCTGCTGTGGCAGAAGCTCCCAGGCACTGCAGCTTCACTGCATCCAGCCTGGGCTGTGCTGGGATGGCAGCTCCTGGGCTGGGAAAAGGAGCTCCACCAAAGGGTTTGCACCCATCCTTGTGGCCTCAGGGCTCAGCCCTCACCCCAGCCCCATCTCCTGCTTGTCTGGTTCCAGCCATGGCTCCAGTCCTTCCACAGGGAACCTCAGCAGTGCCCACCAAGGCATCGCTCAGTAGCCACCCGCCTTGTTCTTTGCTGGTTTCCTGACCCGTTTGCCTGTGTAGAGATGATAATAAACGTTCACTAAATCATGCAATAAAGCCAATTCTGTGTCCAGAACCACCCTCCTATCTCCCAGTCTCTGTTTTTTCAGCACACTCAAGCAAAGGCTCCTTTCCCTTCCCATGGAATCCCAGAATGGCTAGGCTTGGAAGGGACCTCAAAACCCATCTCACACCCCCTGCCAAGGCCAGGGATGCCTTCCAGGTTGTTCCAAGCTTTGTCCAGCCTGGCCTTGGACACTTCCAGGGATCCAGGGGCAGTCACAATTTTCTGAGGGCCTCCCCACCCTCACAGGGAAGAGTTCCTCCCCTGTATCCCATCCATCCCTGCCCTCTGGCAGTGGGAGCCTGTCCATCCATCCCGTGTCCCAGATCCCTCTCCAGCTCTCCTGGAGCCCCTTTAGGCACACTCTGAGGTCTCCCCAGAGCTTTCTCTCCTCCAGGTGAGCCCCCCCAGCTCTCCCAGCCCTCAGAGCATCTCCATGGCCTCTTCTGGACCTGCTCCAGCAACTCCAACAATTTCTTTACCCATCCTGTGCACTCCTTGCTTCAAGGCTGGCCAGGTGGAGCAGGCAGGAGCTGGACCAGCAGCACTGAAGCCAAGGGTGGGCAAAGGGGACACCCAGGCTGGTGCTGAGGAGGGGCTGGCTTTCAAATAAAGGCTCCAACTTGCATAGAAACCCTGAGCAGCTGAAGCCACAAGAAGCACAAGCCCACAGCATCAAAGGGTTGCTTTAAACTAGTATTAAAGCTTTAAACCTGTATTAAAGCTTTAAATCTGTATTAAATACCAGCAGCTGTGGGGTGGAGAGAGGCCTGCAGAGCCCAGGGTGGGGATTGCCCTGGCTGGAGCCCAGGCTGGGGCAGGTTCCACTCTCTGCAGCCCTGTCCCTGTTTTGCTGCACATCCGTGGCAGTGCCCTGTGTGCCAGCTGTGCCCAGCACGGGCCGTGCTCAGGGAGGGGAGCTGGCACTGCCCGATTTGGAGCTCTGTCCAGGGCAAAGCCACCCCACAAGGGTGAGACGACAGAACCCTTCCCCTGCTGGTGACAGTGCCTGCACAGTCCTGCCAGCATAAAGATGTCCCTGTTTTGGGATGTCCCATTCTGTCTGCTTGGACTGACCCTCACGCTGGCTCCTCCAGCGTCACATCCAGCAGCATAAACAGCAGAAATCTTTAAAATCCGTTTAAAATGGGAGTGGGAGATGGGGAAGGTGGGGATTTGGGGAACAAGCCCGTTCCTGCCAGCCCGTGTGCCCCACCACATCGCCTTCCCCTGGTGTCTGTATTTAGTGTTCTGCTTTCCCTAAAGCAAATTTTTTGGGGGGGATGGAGGGGAAGGGGTGGTGGTAGCGGTGTGAATCCTGCAGTGGAATTGGATTCAGCGTTCAGGGCAGCAGCATACACCGACCACGGCAGAAGAAAACTTCCCCTTGTCCCGAATAACCCCGCGTGGAGGTCGGGCATTGACAAATCCCCAATCCACCTCCCTCAGCCAGCTCCAGCTAAAGCGCTGCTCCCTCCTGACTCACCGACATCCCGGTGCTGATTCGACGAGAGGGGACAGCGGCGAGGGAGGGGAGATGCCCCAGCTCGGGGTTCGCCTCTGACATCAGCAGCAGCCCGGCCATAAAAGCAGCGAGCGGGGGGACCCCGGCTCAGAGCGCCGGCCCCGGCTCCGCGGCACGGAGCGGACCCCTCTGCTCGCCCTCCCCGCCCCGGTAAGTGCGATCGGCAGCGACGCTTTCCTCCTTCCCTCTGCCTGCCGTGATGCTCTCGGTGATTGCCGAGCCTGCTTTGCCTCTCCGTGTGTCTGTCTGCTTTGCCTCTCCGTCTGTCCAGCCGGCTGGCGGGGATGGGGAGGTTCACAAGTTGGTGCCCGCAGCACATCTGAGCTCCCGGGAGCGCTGAGAACTTTTCCTTGCAAAAGTGGCTGGAAATGGAGCAGCCCCGCCGTGTCCTGCCTCTCCCAGCTCCTCCTCTTGGCTGCCCTGCCCTGCTCCCTGGTTTGGGCGGCTGCAGAGACCCAGCCCCTCGCCCAGCCCGCCCTGCTCAGCGCCTCGGTGCCCTGAAGGGTGGCACAGGGTGATTGTCCCCAGGCTGTCACTCCAGCAGCCGCGGGCAGGGCTGGGTGCCAAGGGGGCAGAGGTGGTCATCTTCCATCCATCCATCCATCCATCCATCCATCCATCCATCCATCCCTCATCCGTGGCTCTGCAGCCACAGCTGCATTTTGGTGCTGGTCCCCATCCCTTGGGCTCTGGGCTCCCACAGCTTTAGTCCCTGAGAAGATCAGGCCTGACTTAAGGCACCAGGCTAGGACCAAAACCTATTTCCATGACCATGAGGTTTGTGCAGCTCATGTTTGGAGGTGCTATTTTCCCCAGAGCCCCAGCAAAGCCCCTGGGTTTGTTCTGCTGCTGTCCCACCAAGCCCTTTGCTGCTGATCCACAGCCACATCCCTTCTCTCCTGCAGTGACATCGGAGCCTTCAGCAGGGCTCAGGAGCCTCCACAGCCCGGTCACAGCGTGCTGGGGATGAGGCCGGGGATGAAGCTGGGCGCCGCCTGCCTCCTGTGGCTGCTGCTGCTCTGCCTGAGCCTGCCCGCCACGCACGGCCGCGTCCTGGAGCGCTCCGTGGAGATGAGGAGTAAGGAGAACATGAGTAAGGGACCCATCCCTCTGCATCCCCCGCCTCAGCTCCACCTGGGGGGTGAGGAGCTGCTGCCCCTGTATGCTCCTCATCCCCCTTCCCTGCTGCTCCCATCCCCTCAATGGTGGGCGCAACGCCCCTTCCCCACCACCCAGCCCCCTGAGGGTCTCTCGGCTTTCCCCGCAGCCCCGGACATCGATCCCTCGTGGTACACGGGCCGCGGGATCCGGCCCGTGGGGCGCTTCGGGCGGCGGCGGGCGCTGGGCGGGCCCGGGGCTGCTCTGCGGGGCTGCGCTGCTCCTGCCCGGCTGGAGCCGAGCCCCTGAGCCCGGCTGGCAATAAAACCCCTGCTCTCTCAGCGCCGTGTGCCAGCCTCTCTGTTCCTAACCTCACCCCAAATCCTGCATGGTCACCGTGGGTTCCTGCCCGCCCTGGTGGTGTGACAGCTTTTCCCTCTCATGGTTATCCCTGGACATCCCAAGAAACACCCCAAAAATAATCACAGAGGCTCCCCCCTTTCCCCAGGGGTATCCCCTTGCTGTGCCAGCTCCCAGAGGTGACCCTGACATCCTCATTTCCATGAGTTTGGGACAGAAACAGCCCCCCCCCCCCCCCATTTCTGTGGGGTCAGAAGCTCCTAGGGAGGATGTGATGCTCTGTCCACCCCACTGCCGTGCCCCAAAACCTCAGGGATCACTGCCTCGCAGGCAGGGTGGGTGCTGCTGCCTCTGCAGAGGGCACAGGTGGGTTTTGCTCCTCTTCCAGACAAGTGGAATTCCCACAGTGTAAAGGCAAGGCACAGCAAGGCACTGTGACACCACACATTGGGTTTGGCCCCATTCTGGCTCAGTGATTGCCCCCAAGGATGGGGTGTGAGCCCTGTAATGGGGTGGGTGGGGTGAGGAGAGCACTGGCCCTGGTCCCTGCCACCCACAGGCTTCCTGTGGTTCCCTACAGGCTGACCTGCAGGACAGGAGGGGAAAGGAATACACACCTTTGGGGCAAAATTCTCTTTATTTGCAGCCTGGGTGTAAAACCACCGGGATCTTTGCTTTGGGGAATTAAACCCTCCTTTTCCAGAGGGAAGGGGAGATGGAGGAGGTGACAGCTGGGGGTGGGGGGATGTCACCAGTCAGGGTTGGTGGCAGCACTCCTGG